GCTGTTTGTCATGTCTCCAAAGTAAAGCCTGAAGCTCTGTGAATGGGTTACAGCTGCCCAAATGCAGCACTGCTCCCTGCGTTTAATCTTGAACATCCAGAATGTAAATGTGAATTCCTGGCCGTAAAAGCTTGCTTTTTATCCCCGCGGACCAGGACAGGGCCACCACTTCTCCCCACAGGGCTGGTGGGGGATGCCAGGGGGCACGCAGGAACAAGCGGCCGCTGTCGTGCGCCGAAAAAATCCCTCCTAGGGATGCGGTTTCTGCGCAAGCCTCCCATCTTCCCACCCGCCGCAGTCCTTGGGGCGCCTGAGCAGCCTTCACGCCAGTGCTTCTCCGACGGCGTCCCCTCGTCCCGCCCTCGCGGCCGTCCCCTGCCGAAGTGACCCATGCCACCCTTGGGTTTTCTCACGCAGCCAGGGTGCAGACCGGCTGTGGAGCTCTGGGCAGGTCCTCGCAGACCACGAGAGGTGGTGCTGGGCTTGAACGGCGTTCAGAGAACCCCTGAATTATTCCTGGGGAAATGCACAGCCGCAAGCAAAGAGAAGGATGGCAGGTATAACTGCACTGTGCTAAGCTCCAGGTCCTTCCCACAGCCAATGTGGGGATGGGAATAATAATAAAATCCATTACATTTCCAGCCGAATAGGGGAGTTTGCTTTGGTTCTGACGTTTTTATCACACGAGAAGGCTCTTGGCAGTGCAGATAAGGAGAGCTGTTTACCCACGTATTTTAAATGTCAAGACCGATGACGAGCGAAGCGAGTTGGCTTTTCAGCCCCACTCAAGTTCTTGGCTTTTGTGAAGCTTGAAAATACGAATTCTGGGCCTGGTGGTGGACACCAGGCTCGGGTTTTATTCCACGTGTATCATGGACTGAAGGAGAAGAGCGCTGTGGACTCGGGTGCAGATGTAGGAAGATGAGGGCTGACTTACCCGCAGCATCTTTTCCTTCTCCGTCACCAGGAAATACCCGGTGTCTGTGAACCGAGAGCTTAAAATCCCTCCTGCGGCACCCAGCGCATCCCTCCTGGCTCCGGCCGCTTCACCTTGTGGGAACTGTCATCTCTTGGGGCAACGCGAGAACCGACAAAAGCAACCCAAACAGGTTAGATTTTGTATTGCTTCCCCCAGTGAAATCGTTGCAACGCGGATTCATTTTTTTGGCTGAAGGTTTAGTTTGTCTCCCTTAAAATGGGGAGTGGAAGTGTTTTACCAAGTGGATTAGCTCCCCAGTTCCCTGGAGAATCTCTTAAGCGGTGTCCTTCCCCGAGTCCATCACCCTCATTTGCTGAAATTCTGCTTGTTTTCCCCTCTCCTTTTTAGGGCTGTTGTTCGTGCATGCCAGCTGCTGTGGCTTTCCCTCCAGAGCATCGCAGGGATGCAGTTTCCCTTCCCTCTGCAAAGGAAAGGAGCAGCGCGCCCGCAAAATGCAAACTTGCAATGGACAAACCCTGCGCTTACTTTTGTCTTCGGTGCAAGTAAGGTGAACGCCCTCCTTTTACTGAAACTAAACAGCAGCTGTGGAGTCCAACTCCCCCAGGTCTGTATCTCGATACCAGGGCGTTTATGAAAATAGGAACGCATTCCTGGGAGTCCTGACAACTGCTGATTCGTAAATGCCCCTCAGAAGTTTTCTCTTGGAGCTGGTTAGTCACCTGGATTTGTAATTCAGTTTAAAATGAGAATTGAGTGCCAGCTACTGGGAAGGAAGGATCTTTCAGGCAGTAAATCTCAGGGCAGAGCTGAAGCGGACAGGGGAAAGTTTAATTTCAGATAATTTTCTGCATCTATTAGCTGCCTTGGCAGCTTTGGGTGAATCAAGGGCAACCACGTCAGAGCTGGAAAATGAAACAAACAAAAGCACCCTGTCAAATTAATTTTTCATTACTGTAGGTGATGCAAATTGCAGAACTCCTGGAGTCTGACCAATGCCTTTTCCAGGGGGTTTCCTACGCGTGCCTCCAACAAAATGCCGTCTCGTACAGCTGAGGATCGCGTTTGCTTTGCCCATGGCTTCAGAGCACTGACAGCTTTTGGCTGGCCCAAGATCAAGGGCACCCAAATCTTTCTCGTTTCCTTTCTGCCAGGTGCTTAAGCTTGACATGACTGAACTCCAGCATCACGTCCATCACTCCATCTCATCTGACCTCATCTACATCTTTCACTATTGACAGTGCTGCTGCACGACTCTGTCTGATCGGTGCTTTCCAGCAGAAATCTCCAACTCTATATGCCGGTCACTCATAAAAATAGTGACTTTCCACTGCTTCCTTGGAAACGCATCGTTTCTAATGTTGCCACCCACGGATCATGGAATCATAGAATCGAATCATTTAGGTTGGAAAAGACCTTTAAGATCATAGAGTCCAACCGATTTAATTATCTACATCCTAAACCACTCCTGATTTCCCCCCATCGTTACAACTATGGCCGTCTGGATGCCCTGCATGGCCCTCCAGGGAAGGCTGCTGTTCCAAAGCAGGGCGCATTCAAATCCCCCCTCTGGGGTTGTTGATAACATAGGAGACATTTATCCGTGCTGTTATGAGCCAGCAGTGAGACTGAAAATCCAAAGAGGCACTTTTGAGTCAGAGGTGGATGGGCTGGAGTGATGATTTTAAGATCCGAATGGGAAATTTGTCACTTGTGCTATGTGTTCTCACTCGAAGCTCCTCTTACCTGGCACAGGATATGACAGAGATTCATGAAAGGGTAATTTTATTGCTTTTCCACATGATTACACTTCCCATTCGGGTCCATTTATTCATGTTCTCCCTGGACTGCGTGTGACAAAACCGCCAAATAAAAATACCCCTCGCAGGAGCTCTGCCAGTTGCAAATCCCCGGCTCAGCGCCACGGATCTGCTTTCTGACATCTCACTAACACCTCCCTTCTGCCGATGTTTTACAGCTCTAATGGGACCCATCGTCTGCACGAAGAGCCACAGCGAAGCTCTCCACAATATGACGATGGGCTGGAAACCACCTTGGCTGGGCTTTCCTTCTTCTCTCGGCCAGCAGCACATCCCTGAGAGGAGGGTAGAGCGAGAGTGGAGGGCACCCTAAGAAACCCATTTTGCACTTAAATGAAATGGTGCTGTGGGTTAATTGAATAGATTGGGGCAACGCGGTGGTTCTTCTGAGCATTCAGGGTTGGCTTTTGAGGGTGAGGGGCTGCACTTGCTCAGCTTTCTGTCTCCATTGCATGGGAGTGGGGAAGGACGGAGGCATCTTCACAATGTGGGGTACCAACAAGGATGGGACCCATGGGAGCGAGACGTCATCGAGGATGGCTGGTGGGTGACTCCTGAACTGCTCCTCCAGCTTTGCCCCTTGCTTCTGGAGGAGATCCCTACCCCCTGGGCAGAAGGGCCATCTCCAGCACGGTGGAGAGGTGTGGCCAAAACCTCAGCTTGTAAACACATCCCTGCATGGGGATGGTCTCTCCCTTCCTCAGTGAAGGGGGAGATTGGTCCTGCCTATCGGCGAGATCATAAAATCACAGAATCGTTTAGGTTGAAAGAGACCTTTAAGATCATCAAGTCCAACTGTTAAGATGCATGGTATTGGGTATTTTGTCAAATCATTCTCATTTCTGACGGTTCTTTACATGTACTGGGTCTTTTCCTGGGCTGTTAGTGTAACATCTCCAATCCCATGCTGAACATGAGGCCGGGTGGGTGGTGATGGGAGCTCACCCTGGGTCTGTGGAAGAAGCAGAGCTCTTCAGAGCTGTTTCAGCTCCAGACAGGTGAGCAATGGAGATTATCCAGGCAAAATCATGGTGGACGATCAGGCATGGGAGCACCAGCTTCTAGAAACACCCACATTTCTGTGCTTCGCCCAACCAGCCTCCCAAATACCTCTCATTAGAAAAAGGCCCTGAAACAATGAATGATTAAAAAATTAGCCGCTGGGAATGGCTACGTGTCCACAAACCACATCTGGCCCAGGAAAAGCTTGGGGGCGTGTAGGAGAAGCAGTGTCCCCACAGTGCGACCTTCCCCAGGTGCTCAGGGCTGGGAGGAGGCTTGCTCCAACAACCCCAGGATGTACTAAATAACCAAGCACTCAACCCACCCCTTAACAGCTAACACAGTCTTGCAGCTTTTTGGTGTCTGCTGGCTTCAGGGGAAGTGTGAAGCTGCTCAAATGATCATGCATTACTTAGGCTGGGGTGAGTAAGCAGATGCCTTCCCCTGAATAATTGAAGACCACGTATTTACCTGTGCTGATTGTGCTCGTTTGCCACGGGTGTGTTGTAGATGTATTCTTGATGACAAGCATCAGACAGCCCCAATACAGCCCTTGGACTCTCCTTGTGCAACCAAGCCCATGCCACCACCTCAGGCCCTGACGTACGATGCCTAGGATGTGATTAAGGGACTGGAGAGCAGCGTGCTGCCCCACGGCTGCCACAGGGAGGTGTAAAACCACTCTCAATGTCGTTCTTCTTCAACATCATTCTTCGTTCAGCTGCATTTTATTTTTTCCATCTTATTTCCATCACTCAGTGTGGGTTCCTTCATGGGTTCAACCCCAGGTTTGAAGACCACTGTCCCCTGCAGAGGTGGGGAGATGGGTGCAGGTCATCTTTGGGGTAACCCAGGGAAGACTCAAGCCATTAGAAGTCAACAGTGGGAAGGAGAAGAGCAGGCTGGAGGTTTAAGATGCCCAGGGCAGAAGACAAAACACAGTAAGTAAATTCTGGTGAAAAGAGACATAACTTCAAAAGGCAGCTCATGGTGTATCTTGGATAAGACTTGGCGAGTTGAAAATGCTGTTTAGTTCATCTCACACAGAATCACAGAATAACAGAATGGCAAAGGTTGGAAGGGACCTCGGGAGATCATCTAGTCCAGCCCTATCTCCTCCCATTGCAAAAGGAGGATGAGCCCCTGGCACACACCTGACTATCCTCCACACCTCCTGAGAGCGTTTGAGGACCTTTTCTGTGGCTGAGATGCTTGTGTTCAGATTTCGTCCCCTCACTACAAGAAAGATGTTGAGTTGCTGGAACATGTCCAGAGAAGGAACGGGCGATGGTACGAGGGGAAATGGCCTCAAGTTGTGCCAGGGCAGGTTTAGGTTGGACACTGGGAAAAATTCCTTCCCCGCAAGGGCTGTCAGGCCCTGGGGGGGGCTGCCCAGGGAAGGGGTCGAGTCCCCACCCCTGGGGGGATTTAACAGCCGGGCAGCCGAGGTGCTGAGGGCCAGGGTTTGGGTGTGGGATGGCAGGGGTAGGGGAACGGTTGGGCTTGGTGATCTTAGGGGGCTTTTCCAACCTAAACAATTCTATGATTCTGTGATTCTAAAACATAATCTCAGGCCATTAAAACCCTGTCCGACTTGGAGCTGCAGAGCCATGGGCTCCTTGCACAATCTCTCCTTCCTCCAGCTGCTTGTTATGAGGAAGAACTAGGGCAATTTTTAAAGCAGTCCCACCTGAGCATGGCACAATGCAGGGAGCATGCTTCTCAGGAGCGTCTGGGCTTCCTTTGCCAGCCAAAAAAGTGGTTTATTAATGCTTTATACCCCAGTAAGCAGCAGCACCCCATGCTACAGTGAAGTTTTTGCAGGGGTGATGCTGAGCTCCCCCATCCTTCGATGGCCAATGTGAGGTCTTGCCCTGGACCAGTGCTCCCAGCTTGTGCAAGGGTATAGCAAAACTCTAAAATGTTCAGGAAAGTTCTCAAAAATGCTTTAAAATTAGCTTTACAACGGAACTCTCCCCTTCACCGTGCCCCAGGGAGGGATCCCCTTAATTCCTGGTGCTCCATGCTCAGCCTGACTGGCTCCCAGCCCCACAGAAAGGCTGGCGTGGGAGCGCGCGGGGGGAGGTGAGGGGCCTCAGCAACACCCAGTCTGCAAAGGGGGTAACTTGGCAAGAAATATCCCTGATTTTTAATGTAATTTGGCCACTGACACTTCAGCTCTGAATGCCCATGCTGGAAGCAGCCCGTGGGAAGGCACTAGATGGCACCAAAGCCGGAGGATACGGGCTCCGGGCTGCCATCGCACCCTCCGCTGCATCCCCCAGAATGGGGGAAAGTGGTCCCACAAACAAGCAAAAGGGCTTGTGGATGCGAAAATACCAATTTTTTTGGTTTTCCTAACCATGCTGGGCTCCATTGCCTTGGCTGGACCCTGCCCGTGCAGGCAGCATCCATCCCGCAGCGGGGAAACGGGCCCCAGGAAGTGCAAAAGAGATCGAATCATCTGGAAGTAACGCCAAAATTAAATCACCCAGCTGTGATTTCAAGGTAATTAATGACCAATGGGCCTGATGGACAGTTGTTTCTCCAGGTTCCCAGCCTGGGATCTGGGAATGCAGACAGGGGTCATCGACCTTGCCTTATTTTTGGTTAGTGCAAAGCCACCTTGCGAGCAAGGAGCGGATTTCACAGACAAAATATTGCAACGTCCTTGATTAGTGGCAGAAAGCCCGGGATTTTGCAGCAAGGCTGCGGCCGAGCGCGTTGCCAGGAGGGGGCTTTGCTTTCGCCCCGACTCTCACACCGGTTGCGGTTGCATCCCAAAGCCGCTGCCACAGGGAGCTGGTGGGATGCCGGTATGGGGAGAGCGTAGGGTGACCACCAAGGAAAAGACCCCAGAACCTCTGCTCCCCAAAAATATGGGCAGGGTGTAGGAGAAAGGATGAGTCTGGGGCCATTCTTCTTGAAAAAATGTGATGCGAATCATCCTCAAGCCCGATCCCTGCCCGCTCCGTAGGGAGGCACAGGGTCAATGTCAAGGGTGTGCGGTTAAAAGTGTAACCTGAAGGAAGCATTTTATCAGCCCCAATCTCCCGCTCCAAACGCGCTGCAGCGAAACATCACCGGCTCCCATTTTTCAACAACTATCACCTGTCAGAGAAATGACATTATTTTGCAGGCTGCCATACCCGCGCAAACCGAGAATGAAATTCCTCAGAGCAAAATAGTTCAATTTTAGCAAAATGATGAGACGTAAATGGGGGCATCGCAACCCCCTGTGCCGTAATAAATTGCGATCGCTCTCAAACGAGCCCAGGGGGGCACGGGGGGAGCGCTGGGTCCCTCCGAGCAGCTGTGAGCTCCTGAAAATCCCCGCTCATGGGGGAAGAGGAAGGATGGCCTCCTGCTTTCCTCCAGAGAAAGTCCCAGGCTGCCCTGGCAGAACAGGGGCGCGGTGTTTTCTTTCTCATCTCCCAAGTGGTCGCTCTTTGGATGTGAGGTTTTTACCCTTTTTCTTATTTCTCTCCCCGTAAAACTGGAAAACTGAAACGCTAAAATATTTCATTTTAATTTGAAGTGAATGCATAATGGTTTTCCTCTACCTTACCTCTCTCCTTCAGAGAAAAGAAAGAATGGTAAAAGGCAGAACAGAGAAAGTTACAAGGAGGCAGAATATAAAGGAGCCAAATGAGCATAGGTTAAACTTCAGGGTAAATAAATCTCAAACAAAGCCTTTTCATGAACCAGGAGCCCCCGACTTTCTGGCTCCTCACCTGGGTCTGGGTTGCTGTCACTCCCAGGCACAGTACAATGCTGTGGTGTTTGCTGGAGAGATTTCTTCTCCCTTTTCACCCTTTCTCTATCCATTCTTCATTTGGCCTTTAATTTTTCCGCCCTCACTTTTCTCTGTAGGTTCTCTTCTTCGCTGCTGGCCTCCCAAGTGGCTTTTTGTCTTCCCCCATCTAAGACTTGAGACCCTCAAAACCCCAGACCTGTTCTTCTTAATGGGGTTTGTAAGTCCCCACAGCTTTCCCCCCACCCTTGCCCTAGAAGCACCCTCAAAGACCCAGCCATGGCCACACCGTGGTTGTCTCGCCGTTGATGTCAAGATGTGCTCCCAAGGAAATCATTATCCAAGGAAATCATTATTCAAAACACAGCTGAAGATCAGGGTATAATCAAAGGCTCAGAGCATCATCTAGTAAAGAGATCACACCATCCATATACTTCATCTCTACCAGGAGCGAGGCATCAGGTCCTTCTGTGCCATCAATCCCCTCGCTCCTCATCCTGCCATAACATGGCCTCTGGGGGTGC